CTGTATAAAGAATGTGGAAGAAGGAAGCTTTTGCTCTCTGCCTGCTTGCTCTTCCTCTCACCAGCAAGTCCGTTCCTTCACTGGCACTACAGCCTCCTTTTCCAGGATTCCAGTGTCTACCAAAAGACTAGCTGAGATATCCAGTCTTGTGGACTGAACAACTACTGGATTCTTGGACCTTCCTTAGACAGCCATTGTTGTACTAGCTAGACTATATCCTGTAAACCGTCCTAATAGATCATGGATATACATGTCACATTTGCATATATATATATGCATATATATATAATGGTTTGAGTAGGCATGGCTCCCATGGACTCAAGTGTTTGAATGCTTGGCATAGGGAGTGCTTGCCACACTAGGAGGTGTGGCATTGTTGGAGGAGGTGTGTGTGGCCTTGTTAGAGGAAGTGTGTCGTTGTGGAGGCGGACTTTGAGATCTTAAATGCTCAAAGTACTCCCAGTGTGAAACAAATCTAGTCCCCTTCTGCTGCCTGAGGATCAAGATGTAGAACTCTCAGCTCCTTCTCCAGAACTGTGTCTGCCTGCATGCCACCATGCTTCCCACCATGATAGGATGGACTAAACCTCCGAAACGGTAAGCCAGCCCCAGTTAAATGTTTGCCTTTATAAGGGTTCCTGTAGGGCTGGAGAGGTGGCTCAGAGGTTAAGAGAACTGACTGTTCTTCCACATGGTCCTGAGTGCAATTCCCTGCAACCACATTGTGGTTCGTAAGCATCTATAGTGAGATCTGGTGCCCTCTTCTGGCCTGCTAGCTCACATGCAGTTAGAATAAATAAATATTTAACATAAAAAAATTGCTGTGGTTAATGCTGTCTCTTCACAGAAATGTAACCTAAACTAAGACTATATATAAATATATCATTTTTTTTCTGTTTCTCTAGAGAACCCTGACTAATACATCAAGCTCAATTTTTTTCACCCTATTTGGCTAAGCCATTCCTTTCATTCAAAATGACGTAGGCTAGTCTGTTTAACAGCTGGCTTGAATGGAGACACTGTGTTTAAAACTGAGTACACTGTGTTGTGGGCGCCTCAGTCCTGGAGAATCCAACATCCTCTTTCCGCTTTCATCAGCTCCTGTGTGCATGCGGTATGCATAACCTCATACAATCCAACATACACACCACTAAGATAAATTTAAATTGTTTTTTAAAGCTCTTGGTGTCGGATGGTATCCTTCCATCCCAGCACTCGGAGGCAGGAGGATCCCTGTGCATATGAAGCCAGCCTGCTCTGTAGAGTAAGCTCCAGGCCAGCCAGGGTTACATAATGAGGCCGTGTCTCAATAACACCAAACCAAGCCGAGCCACTGATACAGGGGCGGAGCAGGACAGTCACCACCGGAGTCTGTGGGAAACAAGCTGCAAAATTCCGCAGGGAGAGCGACTGTGCCTTCTGTCTAAGCAAAGCAACTGCTCTTAGCATGCTTCTGGAGTTGCTGAAAGGCATGTGGTGCTGGAGCCAGAAAATTATGCACCCTACTAGGCTTTACTAAGTTAAAAATGCTTAAACATAAATTGAAAATGAAAATCAATACCCTGCATTTGTCTAAATATCTAATTTTCTTCATAAAATGCACGCCTTGTTTTCATCTCCGTACATTAACTGTGTTTCTGACACGTGGTCGTGCACACAGGGGCATAATTTAATGTCATTTTTGGTAATTATCATTTGAGCAAATGTAACAATGTTTATATCTAGTTTTGTGAATGCTTTTAAGTTCGGCACTTCAGTCCAATCTTGTTCAACATTATTTTTCCACATTAACACAACCAAAACAAACAACTTTCACAGTAATGAATAACTGAGAAAAGTACTGTGAAAGTAATCCATTTAGATAAGATTCTTGGAGCCAGGCACAAAGGCTCACACCTCTAATCCTAGCATTTAGGAGTCTGTAGCAGGAGGATCCTTCAGAGTCGAAAACATGGGGCCAGCAGGCAGCTGAGTGCTCTTCTCCCTTTAACCGAGCATCCAAACAGTATCATCTTCTTAGCTTTTCATGCTGCAAGAAAAACGAGATGGGAAAGCAAGGCTGGGAGAGCCCTCAGTTAGATGTATTTGCATAAGGCAACTAGGGTGTGTGGGGTGTGTAACAGAGGCCTCCTCAGAAGCTGCCCTGGCTGAAAGGAGCTGACTATCCCTCAGGACTGGTCCTCTGAGGGAGGGGAGAGACAGCCAACATGCAATGATGTGATAATAGCAGGATGCAATGTCTGGACCACTTCTGCTTGGGTGAGACATCCGTGGCAAGCCTTCTGCTTAGACTAATGCACACCATAGCTCAGGAGAACCCTCTGCGTGTCCTGTAGCGACTCACTCAAGCTTCCGGGGTCCTCTCCAATAGTTATTCCCACTAAGCCGCCTAGCGGGCAGTCTGCTCGCTACAGCTGTGCAGAACAAAAATGGCAAGGTGTTTCCTACATTGAATACTTAATATGAAAGCGTTAAACACTTTAAAATAATTTGTTTTCATCCCAAAGATATAAAGATTGTGCAAAGTACAGGGTAATAGGAAGCACTAATAAAATAACAAAAACACCATAAAGTTGTTTTATTTGTATCATGTACAGCAGAGCCACTAACTTGAGAGATAGCACATTATTTTTCTATATTTTTATTTTTTGGTCCTGTAATTTTCAATCATTTAATATTAAAGAGTTTTTATAGACTTATTTTACATTATATTATGACTTATTTGACTTCTGAAATAAAATGAAATATTTTATGAGGATTTAAAAAAAAACCCTTGTAGTTAAGTATTTCGTGCTGATTTCTCTTTGTCCTTTCTGTTTTGTTTTATTTTTTGAGACAGTGTTTCTCTGTGTAGCCTTGGCTGTCCTGGACTCGCTTTGTAGACCAGGCTGGCCTTGAACTCACAGAGATCTGCCTGTCTCTGCCTCCATGAGTGCTGGCATTGCTCTCTTTGGCCTTTTATCTCCAAACCCTGATGTGCTTTCGTAGTTAAACAAAATATATTATTGTGTGTGTGCATATTGTGGTTTTGGGGTGTAGGAGAGGTCAGAAGAAAACTCTGTGGAGTTGGTTCTTTCCCTCCACCTTTTCGAGGGTTCCGGGGAAGGAACTCAGACCTCCAGGCTTGAGTGTTTAACGCTTGAGCCCCTGCCCTTGGAACTTTCTTTCTTTTTTAGAGACTTGTTTTGTATGCACGGGTATTTTCCCTGCATGCACAGCTATGTGCACCGCGTGCCTGGTGCCATGGATCCTCTGGAATGCAGTTACAGCCAGTGGTGAGCTGCTACATGCGGGTGCTGGGAATTGGACCCCCGTCCTGTGAAAGAGCATCCAGTGCTCTTAACTGCTGAGCTAACTGGTAAAGCCAGTCCTTCCTATCCTGGGGCAGGGTCACTGGCTTTCTTCCTCCCAGTGTGGCTGACTTCACTTCTGTCAGGGTAGCTTGGGCTTCAATGAGTCCTGACATGACTCCATACAAGCTGGCTACTGGGTGCAATAAACCTCACAGAGAGTGCTTACCAGAGCTGTGCTATTCCTGACAACACAACAACAAAGGTCTCCGGGTGGGCTTTCATTCAAGCTGAAGCTGAAGGACCCTGTTCCACTCAATGGAAGTCAGAAAGGAATCCATTTGCCTACAAAGAATGGTCCCAGAATGCCCTCTACTGGGTTCCATGAGCAGAAACGAGACAGGCTGTTTGTTTAACTTACGATCCATAAACTGCTGTGGGTGTTTTTTTACTTTCATGTTGTTTTCGCCTAATGAAGGTGTAACTACAGAATATGGTTTTGTTGTCTGAGATGAGGTCTTTCCAGTGTGGTGTACATGCTTCATGGCCTAGGTGGCCGTGCAGCAGAGGCTGCCTCGGTGACCAGTCCACTGGCACAGCAATGAAATAAGCAAAGCGATACAGCATTGGCCAGGCAGAGGACACTAACATTTTCCCTCATGAGTAGTGACGAGCACAGAACCCTTATCTGAAATTCTGGCCATTTGTGTCACCTGCCCCTCAGCTGCAGGTGGTCTTGGGAGCACAGAATATATAGAGAGTAGAAGGTTACTGAGGGTGGGGCTCCAGCCACTCAGCTTCCATATGATCTCACCCACGCTGGGGAGGGAATGTTCAGAGATGCAGCTGCTTTTGACTCTTGTGTTCCCGGGAGTCACCCTCGCTCTGCTTCTGTAGAGCCCCAATAACCTCACAGGGCTGCCAGGAAAGACTTAGGTAAGATCACTTCTTTGCTTTGTTAGTGTCCTATCTCAGGCGATGATATTTCATTTCTCCCCAGGAAAAGAAGCACTCGAAAGCTGTGCACCGCAGGTTAGTTCCAACTCATAATCTTACTGCCTCAACTTTCCAAATGCCAGGGTTCCAGATGGGCATCAAACCCCTGACTCCTCTAGTCTTTTTTTTTTTTTTTTTTGTATTTTTAGAAAAATGATGGATTTGTCTCAGCATAAGAGGAGAGGAGACTAAGTTTGAATTCAGGTTGAAATTGTTCTGTGGGAATCCGCTAGGTAACCACAGCCATGCAGACAGAGTCTGCATTTACACAGTAGTTAAGAATCAAGGGCCCCAACTGCAAATTCTCAAGCTCTTTGCCACTAACTACCCATATGCAATTACAACAGGAAACGCATAATGAAGAAAAATCACTTCCTCTGGAGACACTTTAAACCTGTCATTTCACCCGTCTGAGGGATGAAGTTTCTCACAGGAAACATCCACGAGGAAGCTTCAGTCAGACCAATACGATTCTACAGAAACACAAGTGGCAGTCCAGGGACATCTGAGAAGCTATCCCACATTCCCATACATGCCTATCATCAGAGCAGGATAACTTCCCAAAGCCTAAAGCTTCCTATCAGAATCACAGCCATCACTGAAATCAGCACCATTTGTATTGCCCATATTTGCCATGAGAACTGCCCCTCCCCTCGTCTGTGTAACTCCCTCGGCCATCAGCACCTGACTCACGGGACACGTATGTCCCTGCAGGTCAGAGACACGGCACAGAAGCCTTCGAGAGCGCTAAACTAGTTAAACCCCATGCTCAGCTGCTGCAGTCGTTAGAACACCAGTGTGCTGTGTTTGTACACTGCGAATTTGAGACGGTAATACCAGATAGCCAACAGACCAAAACAGTTCCTGTGGTGGTTGATCACTGAAATCTGGGCACACTCAGACCACAATTAGCTGATCTTTGAAACATATCAAGGAAGAGAATACTGACTTCCATAGCTGCATGGCCATCATCGTCAACAGTGCACTCACTCAGGACAGTTAACCTCGTGTCCAGATTAACTCATCTTTTACAGAGAAATAATCTGCCCCTTGAGAAGGTAATGGAAGGCTGGAGAGATGCTGGGGCAGTTAAGAGCACCTGCTGCTCAATCACGAGGACCAGAGTTCAGATCCCAGCAACTGTGTAACAGGCCTGGCGTCTTGGGAATGCTCCTTGCCTCAGCTCCGCCAGATCCAGCGTCCTGGTTTGTGTGCACTCGCACACACACATCAGTAAACCCTTCTTTCAAAGAGATAGTGTAACTCTTGAATGGTGAGGATATTAGCTTTATTCCCTAAGTATTATTTTTTTATTAATAAGACCTATAATTACCTCCAACGACACCCGAACAGCACACATATATTAGTACATCCCAGAATGTTCAGGGTTAGGCTCCTCTTCATTGACAGGGTGGGGCATCCTCTGCCTCACTAAGCACAGTCCTGGGACAGTGGTCACTTCCCATCACTGGCTCTGTCTGCTTCATATCACCTAGATGTTGCATGGTGGCTTTTTTAGCTCCCCACTAAGTAGCCCTGACACTAAGTAATATATTCAGTCTGTTTGTTAATTATACTGTATTCACTCATGTGGTCACCATATAGCTCCTAAAACCAAAATAGGATGGAACACTTTCAAATAACCAATGGCCTCCAATCATGCCCTTATAGCTGCAGTTTTCTTTGTGATCATTTACTGGCAATCAGTGCGGAACAAGGAATAAATTTGTAATGAGAAGAAACATACTTAGCACACAGAAAGTCTGCTTCGCCTCCAGTAATATATAATATAATATAATATAATATAATATAATATAATATAATATAATATAATATAATATAATATAATAAATATAATATAATAAATATAACTTACCTAGTTTCTGTGCCACTAAAAATTAGAAAAAAAAATTAACAACTAAGAATGGGTCTGGGGTTTGAGTAACTAATTCTGTAAAGCTTGCCCTACAAACACAGGGACCTGAGTTTGATTCCAGAGACCTACATAAAAATCCCAGCACTGTGGCTGGGCAGTGGTGGTACATGCCTTTAATCCCAGCACTCAGGAAGACAGACACAGGCATATCTCTGAATTTGAGGCTGACTTGGACTATACAGCAAGTTTCAGGACAGCCAAGTGTGGCGAGCTGCTTGATTGTCAGGCTGCTTTGTTATTGAATTCTCAGCAAAAAATATATTTAGGCAGGATTTTTTTTTTTGCCAAGTTACTTCCCTTGTCTTTGTATGAGGATCACATGAACAGGTGGTCGAGGTAAACAAAGTTTGACTTCTCGATGAACACCTTCATTGTATTGAGGTGCTTTGCTCTGACTATACAAAGGAATTATGGAATAAACCAGGTGCGATAGTTTCTTCTGGCACACATATTTAAAAGGAAAAACCAAGAATGAAAAGTCCCTGAAGGAACTTCATAATGGATCAACAGGGGCACAGTAGCAGGCCCACCATCTCTGTGGTACGGACTGGCAAGTCCGGGAGCATGGCTGCTGGGAAATTGTGAAGAACTGCTGAGCTGACTGCCCCAAGGCAGAGGCCAGAAAGACAGCACCGGAGCCTGCAGAGAAAAACCCATTGAGAGAAGCGTCCCTGTGCACCCTCTTCTCTGGGAGGGGCTGGCGTCAGCTGCAGCGCCAGGGTACTGCCCTGGGCGCTTGCACAGTGGTCCAGCTGTGACATGCTGAGTCCCAGAATGCACAGAGAGGTCCCAGGAACCAAATCAACTCCCGAAGAGATAGAACATCTGAGGCTTAACCCTATGTTTTAAAGGTTTATTTTATCTAAGTTATGTGTGTGTGTGTAATCTGTGCAGAGGCGTGTGCATGTGAGTGCAGCTGCCGGGGGCGGGGCGGGCAGAAGAGACCATCGGATTCCCTGCAGCTGAACTTACAGCCTGACTGGGGACTTGGAGCTGACCTGGGTCCTCTGTAACAAGCGTGAGCACCGGAGCCAGTTCTCCAGCCAGTTACTTCTGATCTCTTGTCTGCTCCAATGAGGCGTTCGTTCATCCTACAGACAGAACGCGATCGCATCCTTGCTGGAACACAGTCAGATAGGTGAGCGACTCCTACCTTTGAGCGGGTCCCTCACCTCACACAGTCAAGAGGTTTATATGAAGCCATCCACAGGCACAGGGGTGTTTCCCTTTCAGTGTTCGTCATTAGTGAGAGGGTCTTCCGTAACTTGCAGGAAACTTCTGAGTTACAAAGATGTCTTCCAGGGACTGGAGAGATGGCTCAGTAGTTAAGAGCCCTGTCTGCCCTTCCAAAGGTCATGAGTTCAATTCCCAGTGACTACACGGTGGCTCACAACCATCTATAATGTGAACTGACTCCCTCTCATCCCAGATGTAAACACAGATAGAACACTCATATACATAAAATAAATAAATCTTAAAAAAAAGATGTCTTCCAGATCCCCAAGTTTAAACAGCACAGAACATTTAGCTAGAAAGACATTTTAAAATACAAGGGTCACCTGTGTAAGATCTGTGTTTGAACTTTCTGAAAACCTGAAATAAACTCACAAAAACTGTCTTTTAAGTAAGTTTTCTTTGGGGACTGGGGATATAGCTCAGGGACGAGTGTCTTGTCCTTGTTATCGCCATCCCTCCAAAAAGCCAGCATGGCAGTACAAGCCTGTAATCCCAGCACTCGGGAGAAGGAGGTTGGCTAAATTGCTGGGATGGGCCTCAGTGGTAGAGTAAATGTCTACAATGTTCAAGGTCCTAAGTTCAAACACTAGGGCCACAAAAGTAGGAAACTGAAGAGAGTGCAGGACAAAGCTTTGTAATTGGAGCCACTTTCCTGAGGAGATAAAACTTAGCAGGTTTTGGGAGTTTTTTTTTTTTTTTTTTTTTTTTTTTGGCTGGGGGTTGGGGTGGAAGGGCTGCTTCCCCAGTAATGGATCTAGGAACATATTTGCCCAGGAAACAAAAGCAACTAAGTTTATTGCTTTTTGTTTTAAATGATGCAAAGTTGTGTGACTCTGCCTGACATCTGGAGAAAGGAAACTTCAGTATGGAGTATTCATCCTGCTCAGGATCTCAAAGAAGAAAGAGGCCTGCTTGACATCTCTGTAAAAAGTCCACACTTGTCCTTATTTCCCTACCTTCTGGTATGCTGTCTGGAACATGAGGTCCTCATACAGCTCTCTCAAAGCTCATATCTGACTTATGTTTCAGCCATGACACATAAGAGGAGAGTTATATGGCCTTGATTGTCCAGGGAAGGAGGGGAAGAAGGGAAAGGAGGGAAAGGAGGGGAGTGAGATCAGGGCCTCCTGGCTGGCAGGAAAAGCTCCAAGGCAGCACTAATGTCAGGAGATAAACCTGCTTCTCTTGGACTAGATGTCAACAAATCCCAACCATCACACATGGCAGCTTCCCAAACTGAAAGCTTCCAGAACTGCTGCCTTAGGAGAGAGCCTCATCTCTGCTTTGTGGAGTTCTAAGCAGTGAATAACCCAGGAGTACCTTTCTTCCACTTTAATGGATGTTGGAGTGTTTATTCCAGAAAGATTCCTACAACACAAGCAAATGTTTGACACCAGATGTTGATCTAATAAGCCAAAGAGACACTGCACTTTCACTCATGGTCAAGCAGAAATAGACTAAGCACCCATCAAGATTCAGGTCACAGCTGCAAATAACTCTTACACCTCAGGCTCAGAGATCATTGCAGAAGAGGGAGTAAAAAGATTGAAAGAACCAGGGGATCACAGTTTGCTGTGAGCTTTTTATCTCCCAGAAATGTCAGAAGCTACAGCCATAATGTCTCACCAACACGACAACCTAAGCAAGAACTCAACAAGGAGGCTTTACCCTACACAAAGAATCACAGGCAACAAAGGAGTGTCAGGAGCAAGAGGAACAGTCATCTCCAGGGAAAAGTGTACCAATTGGTTAGCCAATAAAAAATAGTAAACACAGAAAACATACATATTGGTAACATTACACAGACTGAGCAGGTATGTTTATATTTTAGGAACACACACACACACACAC